TAACCGATGTGGTGTACCTTTGGTTGGTTATGCCAGTCACAGGTTTAACCTCTTCGTCACCGACATTTTGACTCAATACGATCCTTTGATTAACACTGTCAATGAGTTAATGAAAAAACTAAAAAACCTGAAACTAGCTGCAAAGCTACGTCGCTTGACACCATTAGGTGCGATCAACCGCAATGTCACGCGTTGGAGCTCCACGTACTCAATGCTCAAGCGCTACGTCGCCATCCGCACGTATATCAGGCTTCTGGGCGATCGCAATATTTTGCACCTCACCCCGACCGACGACCAAGACGACGAAATCGACGCTGTGTTGCTCGTGCTTGACGAGCTTGAATCGATGACGTTGGCGCTCCAAGAAGAAGCTACCTCCATGCTGGATGTCCGCAACCTCTTTGATGAGTGTATGCTGCTTCATCCGTCGGCTTCCAAGCGCTTGGCGTCTAATTCAGCCGTCGTCGGACACGCGGATTTTGAAGTTGCCATCACCAAGATATTGGACCAATCAGTTTCTAGCATGAGTGATGGTCAAGTCGCGAGTGTTGATCGTTTGAAGATGCCCCCAAAGGCCTTGGATGCAAGCCAGGACAAGCCATTGACGCTGGCGCAACCTGCGAAGAAGCGCCTCAAGGTCTCAGCCGATGCTGACTCCTACGTGGACTGTCGATTTATCCGTCCGACGTCGAATAATTGCGAGCGATTTTTTCCTGGGCCAAGTATGCATTGAACGATCGTCGTCGCGCCACAACCCCCCAGAACTTTGAACATCAAATGTTCCTCAAAGTAAATTGTAGTCTTTGGTACGTGACCGATGTAGCCAAGTTAATGACTACATAGAATGGACTTACACCGGGGAGTTATTCGAATAAGTTATTCTTTCTGTATATCTGGAAAAATAAGTTATCTGCCAAAAGATAACTTATCTTCGTCATCCTCCATAAAAGATGAGTTACCTTTCAACTCACTGTTTGAGAATAGGTAAAAGATAGATATCTGAGAACCCCTGCCGCCAGCCTTCATCCTTCCCGGCAAAAAAAAATCGTGCGCCACGACGGGAGGCCTTCAACACTGTGTTTCCTGCAATGGATGACCCGAAGAAGGTCAACACGGCAGTGGCGATTGGGCTTCACACCTGTGGCATTTGGCCGCTGCCGCGCATGCTGTGCCGCTTGGAAGCAGCAAAGAAGAACGGCGTGAAGGGCTCCCTAGAAGATGATACCTGGCTGAAGACGCAGGAGTTTGCAAGGGACATGGCTCTGACCTTGCCGCCAAAGCAAGTAGGGTGGAAGAGGGTGTTGACCGAGTTGAACTGGCACACTCGTGATGGTCTTCGTGCCTCGGCGGTCCAACCAAAGAAGCGGAAGAAGTGAGTCCAATATTTTTTTCCACTGCGACATTCTTTTGATGACTCTTGGGATTTAAATTGCCACATTAAATTTTATCGTATTTTATTGTATATATTTTTTGCTGTATACTTTACCTAAAACATCATTGTGTTCGCGATTTAGGAATTCTTGAAATTTCAATCTGGACTTGACGGTGACGATAATAATTTTCATACAATTCACAGAACTGGTTGAACGATGGTGGATACCGCACAATAAAATTGACCTCGAATTATATTTTCGTGTGGTGCCTTTAGTTTTTCTCAATGTGTTGTAGTTTCTACGTAACATGAAGTTGAAATATCTGGTCAAGTTTTGGCAAAAAGTGTTCGGGATTTCGATGCGTTACCTTAACGTACATTGGCGTGAATCAGTTGTACGTCGGGCGAAATATACCGGAAATAACCTGAACTTAATCGAAAAATGGTGTACTAATATGACCGACCATTTGATGAGCTGACTTTCTCATCCAATCCAAATCTCAATCCATTTTCATTGGCTAAATACAACCTCAGTAGAATTGATACCTGTGTAAATTCAATAAACCTCTATAACACGGTAAGCTGACCCCATTGACTGTGAAACATGGTCATCTGCACGATAGGATAATATTTTACTGCACCTTGTGAAAACGAATTAATGTAGCACAAGCCAATCTGCGTTCGTCATCTTTATCGACTTATGGTGCACGTCATCTAAAAACTTCCACTGGCCAAATCGAAGAGTGGAGGTTTTATTATTTAACGTACAATAAAATTTAATTAACTGTAAACCCAAAAGCCAAATACGTTAAATACCGATTTCATACGTCTTATCACTGCAGTGGGAGATTAAAGGTCCCAACTTCCTCCAGATATTACATACGGATAAGAGTCATATACAAAAATCAAGATACATCTCAGCGGCCACCCCTATGGCCAAATATCCAAGCGCCCGTGTAAAAATACAGCTAGGTTAAATATCTATTTCTGGACCAATTCATCACCAAATTTGAATCTGAGACATAGAATTTCTCCACCACATTGAGATCTGTCGATTCTACATCTGAAATTGCTGAAATTTTGAATAATGAATATGAAATATAGGTCAGAAAATTTTGTGAAAAGTTGGTAGTTTATAGATGACGTACACCATATGATTGGTGGATTCATACCTTCAAATATTCAACACCACAATGAGACACTCACTTCCTGATTACCATCCGAGCAGCAAATAACCAAAAAATCTACCGATTTCAACACCAGCAAACCCAAACGTACGACAAGAAGCCATAGTTGCTTGCACGATTCGACGAACTTGGGTCTGTGCGACGTTTGCTACACACGAACAAACTGAATTTCATTACTCAAGTCATGCACAGGGCTTGTGACTACAACTCAAAATGCGAAGCGGCAATCGCTTGGAGGACAAAGCGAAAAAATCATCATCCGTTCCAATGCGATCTGCTTATGTTCGTCTAAGACGTACGGCGAAACGAATACTTCCTGAAGTCAATGCATATGATTACCATTATGACACTATCGGCCGTAGCACAACACCTACAGGGTGGGCAAACCAAATCCCTATAAGTCCATTTTGCGGTTGTCACAGGTGATTTCGTACCGTCACAGCTTCTAGCATCGAATCCTGTCATCCAAGATACCAATAACGTTAACCGAGATGCTTCGCATACAAGACTTTTCTGCCAAGTTTTGTGGCAACATCAAGGTCATGAACCTTACAACATCGTCAATGCTATGTTGCGATGAAATGCCGCTCGATTGACAAGGTTCTCGTTGAAGCCGCTGAATCCGATAATAAACCCTCGGCGGATATGGTGCTTGAAATTTTTGTGATGGAGAACATGGCGGCTGATCGCAAAGAAAGGTGTTTAGAGCGTGAATAAAGTGACGACTGAACGCCCTCACTACCTTTGACCCTGCCGCTTCAAATGTGGGCTCGTTTTGATCAAATTCGTAACACCGAGTCCTGTGTGGCCAAGCGGACTTATTTCACGATTGGTTTTTCTTCCACGTCCAGGGCTGCACCGTCAAACGCTTCGTCTAATTGTACCAGCTCTTAAATTACGACACATATCAAAATCAAGCGTTTCATCGTACGAGCTGTGTTGTCGTCTGGCATTACGTCGTTCTTGTTCTCGACAACCTCTATTTCGTTGTCGATCTGTCGACTGATGCGTGTCGCCCTGCATGGCACGAAGCGTCGCCAGTCGGCATCTAGTGATATTTCAGCTGGGCGAACTTGCGCTTAATTTCATTTCATCCACGTAGCGATGCGGGTACGGGCTTGCTTACCCCGAAACGCTGATTCTACTCTTACCCATGAATTTCGCCCAGCAGTCAGCATCGCTTCGACACGATCTAGCATGCGTGCTACAGATCCGTTGCACCATCCCTTCCTACCTTATGTTGACATTTCTGCGACCAGGACGACAGACAACCTGTCACGTCTACTTCTTTCACAAGCCTGAAAAATAGTGCTATGTTCTACTACCTCTTTCCGAAAGTAGCTGCAACAACAACACTCACAACATTTGTCCTGATATATCTTGTCCAAAATAGGATTTTACCTCGTACTTTAGCATGCTTTTGAACAGGGTTTTAAACGAATCCGAATTGACCATGGAAATAACTCTAATCCGGCATTGTCCAGAAATTATCCTTGAAATACTGCATGAATGATGTTCAAGTTTGACTGTACTACAATATCATTTTCAAAAGTTAATATTCGATAAATGTGTGGAATATCGGTACTCACAGGTATCAGGTTATATTTGTGGTGAAGTCAATTTCGAAGTTACTGTATAAAATAATAAACTTTACGGTAAGTGACATTGTTGCAGCTGCTTTCGGACATAGGTAGTATAGGAGCATTTACGAGGGACCAGTAGCATATTACTGAGAGTGTGTTTTCCTCTCCGCAATTTGCTACCAGTGTCATGAATCGAGAAATATCTCACTTGCGAGCGGTAGCAAAATAGTTTGTGGAGGTTTTGGCAGTCCCCCAATGCCACTGACGACATTTCAGTCGACAAAACGAAACACCACTGAAACGGCGGGTACAAAACCAATGTTGTTAACAGTAAAACCCACTTTTGGAAGAATGGATACTAGTTTTACAGTTAACAGCTTATATATAAATCCGTTTATACAGTTTTTATTGCAAGATTAAACTCTTACTCAGGGTTTGCGACCTATGAGTAGTCGAAGTGCTTGCTCGCATAGGAGTGGCCACGCTTGACTATCAAGCATCAAACTCGACGACGCTCTTCTTCGTTGATTTCAGCTCTTGTAGTCCCCGCCCTTTGGTACTATGCAGCTTAAGGTAGTCCTTTAGAAACTGCTTCAGATCGGGCGACAAATCATCTCTACGTCTGTCAGCCCTGGGCGCGGTGTCCGATGGAGAGTAGTTCACAAAGAAATCAACCATACGATCCTTGAATTCCATTCTGTTGAAGCCGCTGTCCAAAAAGCTTGGGTCCAGCAGGTAGGCCACGCCTTGCGCGTCACTGTACTTTTGATTTTGTGAAAACAATATGGCTCGAAAGTACTCGTTCTTGCAATCCTTTAGTACTACTACCGATGCTTTATTAAATACATGAGTATGCTGTCCGAATGCGTGGATGTGGAGAAAAAGATAGCTGGATTACTTCCAGACACATTTGCAATTATGTTTGATGGTTGGTCTAACGGATAAAGCCATTGCGTTACATTTCCATCGAATGATGAGGCTGTTTCTCTATATTCCTATGATGCAGGCTACACAAAAGATATTGTTGTTCTTTTCGTCAATCACGATGAGGATTCGATAAATGCAACGCAAATTTTAACGACCTAACATTTTTATTGGATTTTCATGGGAAACAATATCGCATAACGTGGTGGCACTGATTGGAGATAAGGTAATTAATGCACCAATTCTTGACACTGTTTTTGATCGAGTTTTGGCATGACTTCAAGTCCCTGCATCTCTAGGACGAGAACAAATATATTTATTGTGATAGCACAAGAAAACATAAATCACCACCATTTTTTGACGTATCATAGAACATGATTGGGCATAACATTTCATATTTGTTTAGAAATTAAATGTTATGAGCTCTATAGTCACGGCTTTTCAGGTGAACGATTTTTGATGGCGCTCCTTAGAAACCATGATGTTCGTATAGGTTTAAACAATAATTTGATCAAATATTATAAATGCATTCAATTGGTAATACACAATATAATTTCACATGATATTAATTAGTCAATCTAAAAAAATGCAAGCACATTTTAATTCACTGCTTTGGATCACAACAGCAGCGACATAGTGGAGGCAAACATCGCAGTACACTGCAGATGCTGCAGAGGAGAGTGTAGTGCAGTGGAGACAAAGGAGTCCTCTACAACACTCCTCCGTTCACCATTCGTGTGTCGTGGAGCCCTGGTGGGTACTGTACCGGTACTTCAAGTACCATTAAATTAATTATATTTAGATTCCCTACACTTGAACTCATTATAGATCAGAATTTCTGCTCGAAATAGTTATATAACAGAGATAGTACTTAAAATAGTCTATAGAGCCTTTGTAGACATGAACTACATACGATTTTTATATTAACTACTACCGTGTATAGTATTAACTATATATACTATACACAATTTGAAGTAAACTAGGAAATGCATAGTATAGTATATTTAAGGTAAATTATCTGGAAAATAATTGGCTGGCCATCACACCTCGCAATTTAAATGGCTGACGTTGGCCCACTCCAGGGATACGATGGTCTGCCCCTCGACCAGGTGCCTGCCGAAGTCGAGCTCTATGATACGTCGGACGTCGCCGACTTCTCGTGGCACTCTGACCTGAAAGCCACTGCCGATATACATGTGTGGCCTGGTGTATGGACGTTGGTCTATTACCCAACGCTATGACGTGTCCTAAGCGCTCCTGCGCAATGACGTTTGATACGACGAAGAAGCGGTGGTGATGTCGACATTATGCCTGTGAAGGTCGCGGGAGCGTCGAGATTAGCGTTCGAACAGGTTCGTGGTTCCAACGCTCCAAACTGCGTATGAATTAGCTCGTTCGCGTGCTTTTTGCGTGGGGGCCTGAGAACAACCTGTGTCCGCGTTGTATCTAAAGAAGAGCTGTCAATGGAGACTGGGTTGTCTGGTACAACTACTGCCGCGAGTTGTATTGGACGGAAATGCTGCGTACATCTATGATGGTATGCCATGCACTATATCGTCCTATACTGTATATAGATATCGTCATATATCCATATATCGTAGGTTGGGCCAGGGATACTCAATATTGTATTATTATTATATTGTAGAAATAATACTATTGGGAATATTATATTGTTCATGAGATCCATGTAATTAATTATGGGTTTCAAAAGGACAATACCAATATAGTGGAACAATATGCTATTTGATACCAGTATATTGTTACTATATTGTACAATTATACTATTCAATATCGCTCTTAAAAGTCGATTGCACATTCCAGCTATCTGCACAGTCGATCACACTACACGAAATAATGCCGCCACAAGTGCGGCAGAGCCCACGACACTGTGACATGGCAGGGCATCCTTCAGTGTTGCACTTTTTGTATTCATAGTGTGTGGAGTAACGGCCGCTAGCTAATGCACATTTCGACACTGCAAACCTTTCGTGGTGCTGCAACGGCCGCTTGATGTGGTGCTTCAACGGCCACCTGCGGTCGTTCTTCAAAGCTACTGCAATTCTACGGTGTTCAAGAAAAGTGCACATCTGAATCCTTCAATGTGAACTCCATCGAGCAAATACTAGTCGGTCGGTATTTTTGGTAATCGTTCGAAACGCGCTATTTTGGCGAAGGTTGGCCAATCATCGGCTGAGGTTGTGGCGTGTCACTCCATTTCGTCCAATCAATCACGAACATACATTCAGTGGGAAGCGTCCTAAATAAAAACAGGCCTAACGATCTAAGTAGGACTGATCCTCGTTCGGTTCTATGCTTTTAATATGGTGAACTTGGTCACAATCGGGACAAACGATTTGTCACTGGCATTTGCGTGTTAAACTGCAAAGAATGCACGCACTCAAGCTTCACGATACAGTAACATAACTTTCATTGAATATCAATCTGCAACGTCAACAAGAAGCACTTTCTACTTATATTCTTTCAGCGAGTGATTGAACCACAACAACAATGGTTCATTTCGAAATATGCTCGTCTTGACCTGTGTCGTGGTTGGCGACGGACGGACGGACACATCATGCCGGCCCAAGTTGATGCCGACGAGACCGTCGATGACGTCAAGATCAAGATCCTGAACAAGTTCATACATGGGAGCCGTGGCGATGCCCTGGAGCGTACCATGTGGAGGGTGCGACGCTCGGCGAGGGCACACAAGTTGTGTTCAACAGGACTCCGGTGGACGCATCAACTTGTGCTTTGGTGACCTTTGGCGGATCTACCACGCAAATGGCGGATAGTCGAAGGTTTCGACCTACCTCGACGAGGCCGACGCGCACGACGCTCAAGGGGTTCACATACTGGTTGGTGGTGATCCCGGACATCGTGAAATGGAATAGCTACGATTTGTAGAATCCGAAGTGATGGTGGGAAGGAATTTGACAAAAATGTGTTGAAGTCTTTCTATAGAAAGCTCTGAATTCAGTTCCAAAAGTCAAATCCATACTGCCAAGAAGAGAATGGCTCGGCGGAGCGTGACCATCAGGCAAAGTTTGCCGAGGTGACTTGCTCGTTACTTGATGCCCGATCGGTGGTGGCCCGGTACCTACATGTATGCGCGCTATTCAACCAATAGGGTGATTAGATAATATGACACCGTATGAAATTGTGTAGGGTAGTCCGCCTGATATGCAGCATCTTCACGTTTGGGGCTCTATATGTTATGCCCATGTACCATCGACAACGAGGACCGACAAAAAATTGTCCTCTCGGTCGATGTGTCGTTTCCTCGGAGCTGCGGATGACTACAAAGGTTATCGCCTCCTAGACGTGTATGGGAATCGCTTTCTCATTGCACGTGACGTTACATTTGAATACGAGAACGTATACCAACTTCTCGGTCGTGCTGTTACGGATACCACAATGACAATAACTGCCAATGAAGTTGCCGAAATTATCTCACTGAATTCGAGTCGTGATGAAACCTCGACGTCTACTACAGGACATGGTTCACCACCTTGGTGTAGTACACTGGCGACAGGTCGGAGAAGCATCAACTTGACGTAGTCGATCAAGCTACAATGATTTCTGATAGGATAACTACAACAACAATGGGAGCGTTGACCAAGCGGGCTCCTATAGTTGCACCGCGACTATGTGACCCAACAAGTAGTAGTGTAAATGTGGGCTCCGAACCTCAAGCTAAACGGACAAGGATGCATCCTTTATATCTAAATAGCTATGCCTGTGATCATGTTCATCGTGATCACATCATGCGACACCTGACAGGTTTAAATCGACGAGCATTCACCCTCGATTGCAGGTGCTACCGATTGGCAAAGTTCTGAATCTGGTAGTCCAAGGCCTTAAAGCTACAGTGCCGGACATTGAAGAAAGGTACAACCGTTTTTTTTTCGTAAAAGGTATGGATCAATCTCGCCAACATTACAATCATTTATTGCGGAAGATTCAAGGTGAAATGACTGTCTCTGACGTACCTTTTGATCTCGATTACGATGACTATACTGTAACCCAAAAAATTGCACCATAGTGAAATCGATAAAAAATACCTGGCCATATTAGAAAGGTACACTACTTAATCAAGGCGTAGAACCAAATATTCAAGCTGTATTAATTGTGTTACTGGGAAGGACGGAATGCAACGCCCACCGAAGATATTTGTGTGTCACACTTTGGTTATCCAATCATACTCAAGTATCAAAATTGGTGACTCTGATTGGCTATAATTTAAATAATGAAAATCAATAAAAATGTTAATCGGAAATCCTTCAGGTACTCATAACCTCTTCTAATCAGTTTCACTGTACTAGCTATTGAATGCTGCATTCGGTGATTCAAAATGTGTAATTTAATATCCTGTCGAAGTTGCATTTTCTATTTCATGTTTCTTGATTGGCTATAAATTAGGTCGAACTTCGTAGTTAATCAGCCAATAGGACAGCTGTATCTTGTATCAACTCGAAGTTAGGGTGGGCGTTGCATTCCGTCTTTCCCAGTACACACTAATACTTCGTACGCAACCCCTGACCTTGCTGAACACCAATAGATCGCGATTTCATCGATGCAATGAGCTTCACAAGGAGGTCGTCTTCGATCGCCTAGCACTGCCGCGAAATCTCGTGCTGGAGTTCTTGAACGGTCGAAAATTCCTTCCATTCGCGTAAACCTTTCGTGCCAGTCATCCCCAGAAGTTTTCAATCGGATTTAGGTCCGGGGAAAGCGACGGCCAACTCAAAAGTGGGATGTTGTGCTCGGCCAAAAGCGCCATTGTATCGTGACTTGCATGGATGCTTGCATTATCTTGTTGAAAGACAAAAATTCGCCACCATGGTGCATGTGGGCGAAGGGCAACAGGTAGTTAGCAAGTGTGTCGCAGTAGGCGTACGAGTCTTGACGGCCTTGCAGGAAGGCTATCTCGGTCCTCCCTTTACTTGAAAATCCCGCCCAGATCATGACACTGCCGCCACCGTTTTGTCGACTCAAAAATGTATATTCTTTCTTGCGAAGATCATGCCAGTAGTACTGAAGGCCGTCAGGCCCGTCCAGGTTGAAATTCTTCTCATCCGAGAAGACGATTTGGTCCCAACCGGTACCAAGATCAACGTGCGATTTGGCCCACTCGACTCTGGCCACTCTGTGCGGTGGGGTCAAACGAGGGACGACCTTCCGCTTCTTGTACTTGAAGTGGGGTGACTTGGAAAGGATACGTCGTAGGGTGCGAGTCGAAACATTAAGATTAAGGTCGAATTTAATCCTACTTGAGCTCGATTTGCCATTTGAGCTCCGCGAAGCACAAGACGCTTGTCTCTTGAGTCCAGTTTCGAGCATCTCCCCGGACGTTTGGAGCTTCCATAGGTCTCGGGGGGCCTTAGGAAGTTCCAAACAGCCCCCTTCGACACAAAAAGCTCGCCTGCGATCCGTCGAATGGACGATTGGATCCGCTCTGCTCCAGCTTTAAGAGTAGTCCTTTCGCCATCTATGAATGTTCTGTGATTTGTGCTTGTGCATACACATGACTCTACAAACCTTTACTCGGGTGCAGGACGTCAAAACAAGTCCTTGCGATGAAGTTTTGGATTTGTACCTTTCTCACTTGGCCAGGTTTCAAACCAGTCAAATAATATTTTTTCACTTTTCTCAATGGCTATACATCATTATCAATATTTAAAAACACCAGTGTATCCGTTATTCTAATTGGAGTCTTCTGAACAATGCCGCGTCATGGTGGACAAAAAGTGAGAAAATCGTGCTCGAAAAACTGATGTACCTTGTCCAGCACTGTATTGGGCATTAAATGGAAATTCTTACCAATGATGTTTGTCGTATTCCTACTTGAAATCAGATTATTGGTAATATTTCTGCGATTTCAATTACGAATCAGATGAGCATTACGACACCCCGGTCTCTTAAAGCTCTGGCTAGCCTCAACGCCTTGAATGACAGGCAGCTATGAATCGAGAGTATGATTCGAGAATGGTACTTGAAAGTTAACTACACTTCCCTCGGACCGTACTGCTCTACTTTGTCATTGCGTATTTACTGTAAAATATCGTGCAGATGGTACTGTAGACAGGTACAAAGCCAGACTCGTTGCACAGGGGTTGCCATCAAATCTATGGTATTGATTGTGACGAGGTCTACGCGCCAGCGGCACGCTTTGAATCACTGCGATGGATGCTCGCAGTGGGAGTCACGTTTGACTGTATAATCAAACAAATAGATGTACCAGTTGCTGAAAAGCATCTATGGCTTAAAACAAGGATCCGGTACAACTTGCTCCACGAGTTTCTTATCTCGATTGGTTTTGAACGATACCACAAAGAATTTTGCTTGTATGTTCAAAAAGTGGGAGCTGGTAACGACAATAGGATAATTGTAGTTTACAGTTATGTTGATGACCTGATAATTGTGGCACATACTCCTAACCTCGTCGAGAAACTTCAAGCGGACTTGAACCACCGTTTCAAAATGCAAGATCTTGGAGTCATTGACTACATCCTAAAGACAGAAGTGAAGCGAGACCATGTAACCGAACGATGGCTTTGTCACAGACAAGTATATTAACGACCTTCTTGTGAACTTTAACATGCAAGATTCACACATCGTGTCGACACCCCAAATACAGCCATCCCCCGATTTTTGCAGCCTGGTATAAACGCATGTCCTGTGTGATCCCATCGAATATTCAATTTAACAGGATATTGAAAAATTAATACTAGGCGGATACAGTAGGAACCCAAATGCGGTGCCAGTACCAAGTCATATCACGATATCACGAGTATTGCCCATTTAGACATGCGAATGCTGGCAAAATGGTTAACTCTAGATACACGATGATATGGCTGTCGGAACAAATTCGAGCACTGCATAACAAGCCAGGACGTTGGTCGACGTTTGTATGGTAATACTGCGAGTGTACTTGCTTTGAGTAATTGAGCAACCACATTTCACAAAACCTGTAGGGTTTTCGGATTTTTAGGTTTAGTTTGTGTTCATCCAATGTGACCAATCTCCGTATCTAGTGTAGAGTATACTCCTCCAAGACTTCATAAAATAACCCCTGGGTTGGAGGGCAGGCGTTACAGTGGAAATTGATGAAACATGCAGGAAGAAAAAGAGCAAGTACAACCGTGGTGGGCACTATCCCGAGCACTGGGCTTTCGGCGGTGTGCATAGAGCCACATGGATGTGGTTCGGGTTTCCTCACTAGTCTTGACAGGACGAAGCCAACCTTGTGTTTAAATTGATACGGTAATACTTACATTTTGAAATATGTTTGTACTGAGCGCATAGGTCCACAAAGTGCAGCCTAGTTATATAGTAGTTACCTGTTGTGAAGATAAGAAGGTGAGTGTACCTAATGGGTTGCTGGTTTGAATGTTCAAGTACCATGCGGAACCACCGCAGGATTTTCGCCACCTTAGGTGGGGGGGACTTACATATCAGATCATTCTACTCGCGCCCCCTTTGTGAGTAGAAGTTCCTTTTGAACTCGCCGCAAGGTTGGTTAATCATTACGCGCAAAACAACAAAAGAAATGACATAAGAAAAGTTAAACTAAATTTGGAATTTTAGCCCTCCAGCGACTCTAGCCGGTGCCTCCCCACGGTTGTCGTTCGCGGTGCCTTGATCAGGATAGATGGTCGGCTCTAATCAAGCTAGACATGTTAGTGTATTTGAATAAATCATATGAGAATGTAAAATTGTCGTACCGTAGCATCGTAGTTCACCATCCCTAAACAGTACTGCTCCCACGGTCGCCACCGTTGCCGCCACGATCAAGCTGCCATTTGCCCAAACATGTCCATGCAGCCATCACCCCGTCCATACCGCCAACGTCGCGACCTTGCCGCAAGAGCCGCGTCCATGCTGCCACTGCCAGCACTACTATCGCAATATGCATGGTGCCAGTGCCGTCACAACAACTGCTGCCATAATCGCTACGCACCACAGCTCAAATTGAGGTATGTGCGATATCTAGTAAATTTCTCAAATCCAATACTTCTAGATATTCTTACCTTGAAGTAGATAGCAGGTGTTGTCACTATATGTAGAAGCAAGGTGAAGAAGGTTTCAGCAAAAATAGAATGCACGAAGTTCCATGAATTGAAACATGCATTTAAGGTTCACCGCCTTTATAGCTGTTCTCCTAGTGATGGGCATGGACGCCCGTCGAGGTTGCACTGGTGGTTTATGCTGCTGTGTGTGCGATATCACAACCGCTGTTGCAAGAGAAGCCTTATTCCAACTCATTTTATAGGTACCATGCATTTCGTCACATTGTATGGTGTTGACAAACACCGTATCTTTATATAACGATGCCTGTTAGCGTTGATGCTGGTTGATGTTTAGAGGGTTGGCGTTGGTGTTAGATGTTGAGGGTTGTCACGGGCGAAGTAGTTTTGTCGCCGACCCTCTATAGCTGTCTGGTATCGCTGCGGGCGGAGTGTCCATTCTAAACATGTTAGTAGTAGTTGATAGTGTTCATTGCGTAGGATGGTGTTGAAAAACACAAGTACTCCACAGCTGAGATGATGACGAGGTACTGTTCGATATTGCCGAATGATGTAGCAACATACCTTACAGTGGTCGCTGGCGCGAGGGGACAAATGTGAGTTTCTGAAGAAATATTTGATCATTTTTATTGAAATTTTGTATGTGTGCTGAACTCACCGCCACAAAGAAAACTTCCTCGAGATGTCATACGTGGAAATGAATACTCTGTCAGTTATGATACTAAACGCACCTGAAATAGACCACTTTGGCCCCAAAATAACGTATAACCTCTAATAACTTATAAATTTGGGAGTATTCATTTTATTAGCATATGAAACAAAGTGAAACCTCTGAAATTAATAACTTGCTCCAACGATTCGCGAAGCCGCCTTCCTGGACATGCCCTCCACCACCGCCATCAGTGATGACGACTACGACGAGATAGCCAGCTACATTCGTCAGGAGCGACCTAGAAGTTTAACCAAGGAAGAAAGTCTTGACATACTGCGACTTAATGCCGAACTTCGCCGTGACGGTCAAATGCAAGTGTCTTCTACCATCGGCCGCCTGCTAGGTCGAAGCCAAAAGGTTGTAAAGGAAATTTGGTCTCAGTACTTACGATCAAAAAACGTTTTGGCTGTTCCACCCCCGTCCAACCAAGTACAACGCACCACACGCATCCCACATACACATGCTGTGACGTCTATTGTGCGTGAATTTATTCCAACACGGAGCGTTACTCGTGTCCGCACTGTCGCGAATGATGTCATGGCGTTGTTGCTGGAAGCCAAGATCATTCACTACGATGTCAATTGCAAACCTGAGGCCGTCAACTGCCTTCGACGTGTCCAACAATTCCTCTTGAAGCTCGGATTCAAGCGGGGGAAGCGTCGGGGTCACGCTGCATATGCCATGTCAAGTGCCCATGCAACAGCTCGTGACGTGTGTGTTCAACACATGATGCAATTGGCTCCTGCGACACCTGTGGTGTACTTGGATGAGAGCTACATTCATCATCACTACGCAGGCCACCACGATTCCCTGTACGACCCCACGACAATGGCCCCACCAAAGAAATGCATAAAGGTCGCCGGTTCTGTTTTATTGCTGGTATCATGGCCGCTAGTCCCGCTGAATCCGTTGTCGTTGGCCTAGAGTATTTCAAGGCGGCGCGAAGGCTAATAACGAACCTAAGGATTATCATGCGATGTTCAACCACACGTACTTTACCAAGTGGTTTGAGAAAGTCATGTCCGAAGTCGAAGCCCTGGGAAAGCAAGGGGTCACGTTCGTGATGGATAATGCAAAATACCATAAAGGCCTACCTGCTGACACGCCGAGAGGTACATGGCGCAAAGCAGACCTACTGAGCGCATGTAAGCGCTATGCGGTTG